CCCCATCTGCTCGCGACACCGCTGCTTTCGTTAACGCTCGAATTGACTGGAAGGAGATATCTGAAGTGCACGTGCTTAAGGTGGATCTTCTAGGAGTGAAGAAGGAGGAGGTCAAGGTTAAGGTTGGCTATGGTGGACTGTTGGTTATGGGCTTGCGGCGGATGAGAGAGAATTTGACGGTGGTGCGGATTTGGGAATGACGGTTAGGGTATGGTGGAACGAGGATGAGGTTTGCTATGGTGGCCTGGTGATTGCCAAGAAGAGGTGCTGGAAGCCTTGGCAGGGAGGGGAAGAGGTGGCTGGTGGGGGAGGGGTTTTTTTTTTCTTACAAAAATAATAATAATAATTAATATTATTACCAACTAAATATTAAAATATTAAAATAAAAAACAAATTAAATTTTTAAAACCCAATCAAACATTAACACATGTCCCATATACCTATTAATCAAGTCAACAACAGGTCATGACTTGTTTAAAGCGGACAACCCCCAAAGGTCGTATTTTTCAGAAATAATCAAAACGTTAACTTATTTTTGGCGGACCGCTGAAAGGTCGTATTATTTATGACAATTTTTTCTTTTTTTTAATTATAATCCTACATAGCGCTTTAAAAAAACTAATCTTACGTGGCATAATCTGATTGTAGCATTTTAAAAATATTACGTGGCGCTCTAATAATTTCTTAAAAAATAAAATCCTACGTGGTGTTTTAATAACTCAGGAAAAAACTCCCCTTTATATTTGTATACATTAGATTAGATTTTTGACAAAACTAACAAGCGTCCCAAGGACCAGGACAACCTAAAAGAGTTCAACACAATTTTTTATATAGCCACAGTATATAAGACCCAAGCATGAAGCATGCAATCCAATTTGTTATAACGGAGTCCATTACAGAGCAGTGAGAGCACCGTTATATTTCTTTTTTTATATATATAGATTTTTTAACTCCTCACTTCCTCTTGTATATTAACAAAGTGAGTAAGTGACATTTCTTCTTTCTTGTGTCTTAACTTTTTCTCTCTCCTCCATTTATATATCATTCAAATTAATTTCTCCATTATTGTTATTTATTTTCTCTCTCTTAACTTCAATAATACTATCCTTCACTTTTTTTTTCTGTTCTCCATTATAGATATTATAATTTTACCTCTCTTTAATAAATACACCATAATCTATCGATTTAGAATGAACTTGGAATCGCAATCAATCGAAATTCAGAATAAACATGGAATCGCAATTGAATTAAATCGATAATTCAAAAGTGCGGCACGGAATCGCAATGGATCGCACAAGTGCGGCACCATCGTTTTTGACCTCTGTTGAAATTCAAGCTTTTCCATGTTTAATTCAATAATTTGTACGAGTTATATGTAATTTGTTATAAGTGTATTTCGTATGAGGTTACTATATCGTAGGGGTTTAATACCCCATATATTTTACGATTCTTTGTTCAAATTCAAGCTTATGCCATTTTGTGTTTTGAATTTCTCTCTCCTCCATTGTATTTTTCTACCATTCTCTCTCCTCTAAATTCTTGTTTTTCGTTTATTCAAAAAAAAAATTCTTGTTCTTCGTTGCACTATGACTAAATATAAGGATTACTTGTTAACAAAAATGGGGTTACTTGTTAGTGAAGCTGGTTATTGGATAGGGTAGCCCAGTGATAATGGGTTCGGGTCAAGCTTAAAGGGCTTTTAATGCACAGGGCCTTTAACGGATAGGGCCCTTATTAGGTAAGCTCAATATCAGGCCAAAATGTTACTTAGTATTTATGGGGTTACTTAATCGGTAATAGTTGGGGTTATAATTAATTGGTCAGTAAATTAGGGATTACTTGAATTATGGGTTGTTTGAATTTAGGGTTTACTTATAATATGGGTTACTTGAAATTAGGGGTTACTACTTGAAATTATGGGTTATTTGAAATTAGGGGTTACTAATGAGTGGCGTTTACGCCACCATTTCACCCTTTTTCACTAGTGAATTCCCCCTATTTATCACTTGTTTGTACCTCTTCTTACTGTTTTTACCTTTGTTTTAGTTACTTTCGTTCTTTCTCGTGTTTTCCCTTTTTCTTTTATCTTTTCTTTTGATTTTTACCCTTTATTTGTTCGCTCCTAGCACTCGTGGGCGGAATTAGAATTGCTAAGCAGAGTCGAAGTTGCTAGAGTATCTTGTTCCAAGGAAAGCAAATGCAAAAGGGAGAGGGCGCACTGCCACAGCAAGCCGCGGGCGCGGACAGGAGTGCTATGTTGCGTGCGCGGGTTCCATTGCCGCGGGCGCGGACAGAGATCCTGAGCTAAACACCCAGTTTCAAGAGATAGCATGGAGATGGCAAGGAGAGGGCGTGGCGAGCTGGGTTTTTCCAACTACGTACCCACAACTGAGAGGGTGCGACAACCTTGCTGGAGAGGCCTCTTCCTCACCCATTTTCTTTGTTTTATCAAGAAACTATGTATAGTCTTTAGCTTGAATTTCATGACATGGGGGAACTATTATTCACTATTCCATTGCAATACTTTGTAGAGTGAGAATATCAACATTAAAAAGAGAGAAAGTAGCTTAACCTTCAAGTTTCAATTGTTGTAATCAAGACCTTTTTAAGCTTCCTTAAAGTTTTCATCTTTCAATACAACTAGTCCATGTTTGCTTAATCCTTCAAGTTTAATAGTAGTAATCTCTTTATCCCTTATCTTTTATTTGGTTTTATTGCTCTTAATAGTGTTTATTTCCAAAAATTTCCTTCCTTTTACTTATTTCATTGCTTTTCCTTTGATTTTGAATCATGTTTAGTTTTGTTGGGATTGAATACATGTTTAGTTTAGTTGATATGGGTATCTTCCTTTCTCTAGATTAGATTTCTAGCTAGGGAAGGGGGTGAAAATCATGATTGATTGAGTTTATATTGATGATTGATTGGGTTTTGCCTTGTGTTGATGATTTAGTGCTTATTATGTTTGGAGCTATTGTTGTGCACCTCTAGCCCCAATATTTGAGTTCTAGATTAGATGCATGAGAATGATCTAGTTTAGGCTTAACCGATTTCATTGACTTGCTTTGAGTGATTGCATGAGAATGAATCATTTTGAGTAGAGTTTGTACTCCTTGGCATGAATCCATGATGATTATCATAGTTGTATTAGTAGATCATGATTGGAACCCCCTCTCCCTAGTGTTTTTAATCATATTTCCATTAAAATCTTATCTTTCATCTTTATTTTGGTGATTCTAGTTTAATTCCTTATTTTGCTTGTTTTAATTTCTTCTTAGTAGGTAGTTTAATCTTAGATACTCTCAAAAACAAACCAATACACCCCTTGATACTTGCAATAGATTCTTTATTTCACCTTGATTGTGCAATACCCCGTTTCCTTGTGGTTCGACCCTAGCTTGCCACTATCTAGTGCAAACTTGATAGAGTTAGGTTAGGAATATAAATTATTGATTTTATCTAGGATAGTAGACACGACCTATTGTCCCCCGATCAAATTTTTGGCGTCGTTGCCAGGGAAACGACTTGTTTTGCACTCTCACTATGTTATTATTGGATTTGTTGCTTTTTATTTTGTTCCTTTACTCTATTGATAGTCATTGCTAATTGTTTGCTTAGCTTTGGTGGATGCAAAGGAGATCTCAAGGACTACCTACACATTACATTGACCACGAAATCGATCGCACTTTGAGACAAGTCCGTAGACTTTATCAAGAAGAGGGGCGAGGTCTCGGTGTTATTGTTGATAGTGAGAGTGATTCTTGGTCTTCAAATTCTCAAAGTGAGGAAATGGCGGGACAAGAAAATGATGTTTTGTTTCGTGAGTTTGGGAATCCCGAGGATTATGAGCCCACGGGAGGGATTTCGCTACCCGTCACGGAAACCAACTTTACCATTCATCCTCAATACACTAGAATGGTACAAGCGGAACAATTTTCGGGTTCTCCAAGTGAAGATCCTATCGAGTACCTTGATAGATTCCTTGAGCTTTGTGCCATGATCCAAACCAATCAAGTTTCCCAAGAATACATCCGTATACACTTATTTCAACAATCTCTTTCGGGTAGGGCAAAGAAGTGGCTAAAACAAGTCAAGCCAAACTCTCTTACAACATGGAGAGAGATAGTAAAGGCATTCTTAAAGAGGTTCATTTCCGAAGAAAAGACCGCCGAAATGAGAAGGAAGATTGCATCATTTGAAAAAGAAGCGGATGAGAGTCTTAGTGAAGCTTGGGAGAGATTCAAATAGTTGGTACAAGCATGTCCTCACGGCGAATACAATCAAAGCTTGCTCATGCGGTTCTTCTATGATGGATTGGAACCTATATCTAGAGCTAACTTGGATGCGGGGGCGGGTGGCCAATTGATTAAGGTCCCCCAAAATGAAGTTGAAGCAACAATTGAAGAGGTAGTGAAGAACTACTCTCGGGGTGGTAGAAGGAAGAATGCACCAAAAAGGGTGGAAAGTATGAATTGGAGAAGGTTGATCAATTGCAACATCAAATTGAGCTTTTGACAAAAGGGATTTCAAAGTTGAATACGAGTGTCAATAGTGTGGCAAGCTCCTCTCAAGTTAATTCTTTCTCTTGTCAAAATTGTGGTGGAACAAATCACGATACATCTTATTGTGGAGGTTTAAACCCCGAGCATGTGGCGGCATACAAAACAGGGCAAGATGGATATAGGGGAAGTGGCGGTGGAGTATCTTGGAGGCAACCACCACCTGGATTATCACATCAACCTCAACAATGGAACCAACAAGCTCAACAATCATACAACTCCAACCCTCCATACCAAAACCCACCTCCATTTCAAAATCAAAACCCAAGAGGAAACTACCCAAGAAACAACCAACACAATAATCAAAACCAATACAACAATCAAAATCAAGCGTCTCAAAGGAGCCAAGAGCAAGCATCTCAACCCGATTCCACACAAAACCAATTTCTTCAACAACTTCAAGCCATGAATCAACAAATGCAAGAGGTCAAGGCTCATAACAAGATGGTTGATTCACAACTAGCTCAATTGGCCGAGAGAGTCCCTTTCAACTCACCTTCTACTCTACGCAGACAATCACAAACTAACCCTTCCAACATCAGGAAACCCGACTCTTGCAAGGAAATCACATTGAGATCGAGCACATCCTATGAGGGTCCTAAGAAGGGGGATAGTGAGGAAAAGAAGGAAGGAGAAGAGAGTGGGGGTGAAGACAAGGAAATTGAGGAAGAGAAGGTTGTTGAGAAAGAAAAAAGTATGGAGAAGAAGAAGCTTAGAGATGAGAAAACAACTTCAACTCCTAGTGAGGCTAGGAATCTTGATGGGCCGGTTCCATTTCCTGGTCGACTTGCGGAGAGGAAATTGAATGACAAGTTTGCAAAGTTCCTTAGTGTGATGAAGAATTTGCACATCAACCTCCCTTTCATCGAAGTTGTCACTCAGATGCCTTCATACTCCAAGTTCCTCAAGGATATTCTCACCAACAAGAGGAAGCTCAATGATGAGCTCATCATTATTCCCCATCAAGTGAGTGCACTTGTTCAACATAAGATGCCTAAGAAGCAAAAGGATCCGGGAAGCTTCACTTTGCCGGTAAGGATTGGGAACATGGAAGCTAGGGGCGCCTTAGCTGATCTTGAAGCAAGTGTTAGCTTGATTCCTCTATCCATTTCCCATAAGCTTAACATTGAAATGATCCCTACAAGGAAGACTATCCAATTGGCCTACCGTTCGGTGAAGTTACCTTGTGGTGATCTTGAAGACGTTCCCATTCAAGTTGGGCATATTTATGTACCTTGCAATTTTGTAGTGATGGATATGGAAGAAGATGTCGATACTCCTTTGATTTTGGGTCGTGAAGCTCTTTAGACTTTGGGGGCGGTGATCAATTGCAAGAACAACACCATTACATGTGAGGTTGCTGATGAAAAGATTGTGTTTGAGTTCTCTAAGTTGCTCATGACCCCCATTGTTGAAAAATGCTATAGGGTTGATGTTGTGAATGAGGAGTTAGATTGCTTGGAATGGGTTATGATGAAGCCTCAAGATCCAATGGTTGAAGATCTTACATGCAAGGAAGAGTATCACTCTCAAGAAGCAAAGGAGTTTGTCATGGCCATGGAAGAAATCCAAATGGAAGAAGACCATAAACAACAAGAAGATAAAGATGAGCTTGAACTAGAGGAGAAAGTGGAGGAGAGTTCCAAACCTCCTCCCAAGGTAGAACTCAAATCCTTCCCCCCTCTTTGAAATATGCTTATTTTGAAAATGAAGGGAATACCCTATTATTGTCAATGCAACCCTTGATGGTCTTGATTTGGAAAAATTGCTTGTTGTGTTGAGAAAATATAGAAATGTGATAGGGTATAGCATTGATGATATCAAGGGTATTAGCCCCTCTTTGTGCATACATCGTATTCATCTTGAGGATGATCAATCCACCTCGATTGAACCTCAAAGGAGGTTGAACCCTAACCTCCAAGAGGTTGTCAGGAAGCAAATCTTGAAATTGCGTGAAGCGGACATAATTTATCAAGTGGGTTAGCCCGGTTCACGTGGTTCCAAAGAAAGGTGGAATAACCATTGTCAAGGGAGAAGGAGGAGAGGAAATCTCCACCCGGACGGTGACCGGGTGCAGAATGTGTATTGATTATAGGAGGTTGAACAAAAATACAAAGAAATTCCATTTTCCTCTCCCCTTCATGGACCAAACGTGGGAGAGACTTTCTTACCATGCTTTCTTTTGTTTCTTGGATGGATATTCCGAATTTTTCCAAATCACTATCCACCCAAATAACCAAGAGAAAACTACTTTCACATGTCCATATGGAACATTTGCGTACCGAAGAATGCCATTCGGGTTATGAAATGCTCCTTCAACATTCCAACGATGCATGACTTCAATTTTTTCGGAAATGCTTGAAAATGAGATTGAAGTTTTTATGGACGATTTTAGTGTTGGTGGCTCGTCTTTTTTGACACTTGTCTTTATAATGTTGAATAAGTTTTGAAAAAGTGTCAAGAGAAGAGTTTGGTTTTAAATTGGGAGAAATTTCACTTTATGGTTGAGGAGGGAATTGTCCTAGGCCATAAAGTGTCAAAGAAAGGCGTTGAGTTTGACTCAGCCAAAGTTTCGGTGATTGCAAAGTTGCCCCCTCCTACTTCCGTTACGGAAGTGAGAGCTTTTCTAGGGCATGCCGGTTTTTACCGGAGGTTTATCAAAAAAATTTCATCAATCGACAAACCTTTGACCGAATTACTCAAGAAAGATGTTGTGTTTAGCTTTGATGAGGCTTGTCTTGAGGCATTTAAAAAACTCAAGGAAGCTCTCATTTCCTCTCCTGTTGTGCAAGCTTCGAATTGGAGCTTGCCTTTTGAGCTAATGTGCGATGCGAGTGATTTTGCAGTAGGTGTGGTGCTTCGGCAAAAGAAAGATGGAAGATCTCATGTCGTCTACTATGCAAGTAGAACACTTGATGAAGTTCAAAAGAATTACATAACGACGGAGAAGGAAATGCTTGCGGTTGTGTTTGCCATGGACAAGTTTAGGTCCTATCTTATTTGCTCCAAGGTGATTGTGTACACGGATCACATAGCGGTTCGCTATCTTATGACCAAAAAGGAAGCAAAGCCAGTCCTCATCCGTTGGGTTCTTTCTCTTCAAGATTTTGACATGGAGATGAGAGATAAAAAGGGAGCGGAGAACTATGCGGCGGATCATTTGTCTAGGCTTCCCTTTGAGAACAAGGAGGATGTACTAATTAATGAAGAAGTAGGATTTGAAACTCTCATGGCTATGGCTTCAACATCTAGCCCATGGTATGCGGATATAGAAAATTATCTTGCTTGCGGGGTCATTCCCCCGGAGTTTTCTTCTCAACAAAAGAAGAGGTTTTTCAAGAAGGTGAGGAGGTACTTTTGAAATGACCCCTACTTGTTTAAACAGTGTGGAGATGGCCTTTACCAGAAATGTGTTCCTAACCATGAAATCGAAGGATTTCTTGAGCATTGCCACTCGTTGCCATGTGGAGGACATGGGGGAGTTGATAAGACGGTGGCAAAGATTTCTCAATCTCTCCTATGGTGGCCGACGATGCATAAGGATGCCCAAAGGTTTGTTTCAAGATGCGACAAGTACCAAAGAAGTGGTGGCATAACCAAAAGAGAAGAAATGCCTCATCAAAACATTTTGGAAGTTGAGCCTTTTGATGTTCGCGGCGTCGACTTTATGGGGCCTTTAGTCTCTTCATGTGGGAATTTATACATCTTGGTAGCGGTGGACTATGTGACTAAGTGGATTGAAGTTATACCCTCCCCTACCAATGATCATAAGGTTGTGCTTAAACTTCTCAAGAAAATCATATTTCCGCGGTTTGGGGTCTCTAGGGTGCTAATTAGTGATGGAGGTTCTCATTTCGCCAAGAAGCAATTCGAGGCTCTTCTCAAGAGGTACGATGTTAATCACAAGGTTGGTCTACCTTATCATCCTCAAACTCAAGGACAAGTGGAGGTGTCAAATAGAGAGATCATGAACCTTCTTGAAAGGATGGTGAACAAGTCTAGGAAGGATTGGTCCCTCAAGTTTGACGACACACTTTGGGCCTTGCGGACGGCGTACAAGACTCCAATTGGTACAACCCCCTATCGATTGGTCTATGGGAAGGCTTATCATTTGCCGGTTGAGTTGGAGTATAAAGCTTGGTGGGCAATAAAGGAGCTTAACATGGATATGTCGTTGGCCGGTGAGAAGAGATTGCTCAAGCTCAATGAACTTGAGGAGCTTCGATATGATGCCTACGAGAACTCAAGGTTATACAAGGAGAAAACCAAGAAATGGCACGACCAACATATTAGGAACAAGAGCTTCAAGGTTGGAGACAAAGTGTTGTTGTTCAACTCCAGGCTTCGTTTGTTTCCTAGAAAGCTCAAATCCAAATGGTCGGGGCCTTTCGTGATTTCAAGGACTACTCCTTATGGGTCTTTTTAGTTGGAGGCAGGTGACAACAGGTTCATGGTTAATGGTCATCGTTTGAAGCACTACTTTTGCAAGGATGAAGTTAGTTTGGTTGAATGTATGAGGCTTGATCCGATGGATCTTAAGCCACCCTCTGGATGACAATTTCTCATGGTCAAGCTAGTGACCTCGTAAAGAAGCGCTTCTCGGGAGGCAACCCGAGTTCTCATCTCTTTTGTTCTTTATTTCCTTCATTTAGCCGATTTTAATTAATCTCTTTTATGTGTTTTTTTTTTTTTTTTTTTTTTTTTTTTTGGTAAATAAGAGAAATTTTATTACCAAAGAATAAAAGAATACAACTTACAAGCTAGAAGTTGTAAACTACAAACTACACACAACCCTAAGGCCACCCAATCAAAAAAGAACAAAAACCTCCCAAGCCTGTAAACAACCACCTTCTAGGAAGGGTGCTAAAAACAGCAAGGGGGAACTAACTAGCCTCGGAAAATGAGGCACCTTCTAGGAAGGGTACACCAAAACTGGGCTAGTACACAAAAGGAAAACAAGCTACAACCACCAGGATCACAAAACAAAACTACTACAAAGAAAAAGACGGAAAACAGAAATAGAACGTAGTAGCACAGGACACAACCAGGAACTCAGCCTAAACTGGAGTTACAACCAAGACTAGCAGACTATAATAGCAGCCTTGATCAGAAACAGCATCAGAGAAGACTGACCAAGTAAACAGAGCTTGCAACACTCCCAGGCTACACAAAACAGAACAACCAAAATAGACCAGGAACTCAACAGCACAAACACTCACCAGCCCAAACGACCAACCAGCAACACAGAGCACTCAGGAGAAGACAGCAACTCAGGGCTTCAGCAACCAGAAACAGAACTATAGAACAAAGCATTGCAACACATTAGGCCATAACCCCCTATAAAGCAGAACGAGCAGAACCTGCCAGCACACCAAGGGAGAAGCAGAGCAGCAGCCCTGTAACACAGAACAACACACAGCCCGACATACAGCAGTCAGCAGCAGCTAGAAGGCATCCTGCTTTTAAGCGACTGTATCCACTTACAGTGACTTCTGGACCAAGAGTGATCAATCAACTGCTGCACTCTATTTACTACTTCCAAACAGATTGACTTACTCAAATGACTAGGGAGGATCACAGCCTTATCCCAGAATGCATGGTTCCTGGCAAACCAGACATAATAAACACAAGCAGCCAGTGAAGCTCCAAAAATTCTCTTTTGGATCAAGTCATTTCCCTGTCTATACCAATGTTTCCAAGAGGCAGTCAGATTGAAATGTTTCTCAGTGCATCCGAGCCAATTAATGATTACTTTCAGACAATTCCTACTTAAGGGCACTTAAAAAATAGGTGCTTATGAGACTCAGGAGCAGCCCCACACAATAAGCAGTTGGTATCCAGATTGCAGCCAAAAGAGTGAAGCCTATCTGAGGTTTTGAGTCTCTCCTAGACTTCCAATCAATAGATAAAGGAATGCTTAGGGCTATTAAACCTATTCCAAACCCATTTATCCCAAGTCACTTTTGTCTAGACTCCTTGCAACCAGGTATAACACTCACTAATCTTGTAATTTTTACTAGTCCAATTACCTGACTCAAAACCTTGCCGTAAATCATATTTCACCAAGCAAAGCCTTCTCCAAGCCCAACCATCACTTCTCTTGGGGCTATACCCCCACCAATCACTATCTTTCAAATATATACTATGAATCCACTTAACCCATAAGGAGTCCTCCTTCTTGGCTATTTTCCACACATACTTCCCTAAAGCAGCTTTATTCCATCTGTTACAGTCCCTAATTCCCAAGCCTCCAAACTTCTTAGGTTTACAAACCCATTCCCAGGCAATAGGAGGGGCACCACTAAGGA